ATAGATAGTATATAAGATGGAATGGGTAAAACTGATTAATAAGTGCGACAAAGGTAAGAAACCTTTAAAACAAACACCATCATTATTGCTCAGGCCTCCCCCCTTACTTGCATGGCGCCCCTCTTTCGTCTGATAAAAGGGATTCCCACATGTAATCACTAGAGGGGTGTAGACAGGGGGGCTGGAGGGGGGCCATGGCCCCTACAAAAAAAATTATATATAGGTAAATAAAATTATAATTTCTATATTAAATTTTGTTTTGGCCCCTACATTTTATTTTTGGATATCGTAGAATATTCAGCCAGCCCTTTACATTGTAAAGCCCAAAATAACAAAGTAAGAAACCAAACTATTGGAAGGCTCTAACTCTAAGGGACTAAGCCCATTTGAAATAACTCATTCAAACAAATGAAGGAAAATTAGATACGAAGTACCAAATTGAGAATAAGTGGAATAACCTATTTGAAATAGGAGGAAAATTAGATACAAAGCCCATTTGGAAGAACCTATTAGATATGAAGTACCAAATTAGATACGCAGTACCAAATGAAGGATATTCCGGTTCCTGATATGAATGCTAATTTTTCTGATATTATTCGATCGCGTCGCAAGAAGGATATAGTGCAAGTGGAGCATCATTATCGAGTGAATATCTTTTTGGTTGCTATTGATAGGCAATTAGCAGGTTCAGTGAGCGTACTACAATGCTTCTTGTGTTAACCAATGCTTTGGATCCTAGAGATGGGTTCAAGTCATTCAATATCGGTGATATATGCACACTTGTTGAAAAGTTTTATCCTCATGATTTTTCTGATCAAGAAAAGATTAATTTGAGCTTCCACTTGCAGCATTATCAACTTGATGTACCTAATCATCCCTCTTTGAAGAATATGTGTACTATTACAGCTTTATGTCGAGGGATGGTCAAGACAGGGAAGTCTGAAATTTATCCTTTGATTGATAGATTTATTAGATTGGTTTTAACTCTTCTAGTCTCGACAACAACTACTGAGCGGGCTTTTTCAGCGATGAAGATTTTCAAAACAAGACTTCAAAACAGAATGGAAGATGTGTTTCTTAGGGATTCCATGGTTACTTACATTGAAAAAGAAATTGCTAGATTCACGTGGATAAAATCATTGATGATTTTTATTTGATTAAGGAGAGACGTGCAAGACTGCAATAAAATCATGTATTTTACTTGTTTTGCTTTTCATTCAGAACTCTAGATAACTTAAACTTTTTGTTGTGTAAAACTCTTTCATATGACCTTTGTCGGGAAACAATGATGTATGTATTAGATTATAAGTTTTTAATTCCAAGTAGTTTTTCAATAGAGCGGCCCCTACATAGCTAACTTTCTCGCTCCGCCACTGAATCACTGTCACATTACTAGATCCAGATTCAGGGACAATGCCGTTAAGATTATTACTCCCTCCGTCCCATATTTATCTTCGTAGTTCGGTTTACGATGCTTGACTGACGATAAAGCAACTTGATCCCTGTTCACACTAAGATTATTTTTAGTAAACTAAATTTACATATTCAGAAACTACATTAAACCTGCTACAAAGGCTGATCAAGAAAATTTAAGTTTGATAAAAATTTGATATATAAAGTAAAAGTTTAAAAGTAATTTGAGTTGACCGTGTGAATAGTAACTATGAAGATAATTTTGGGATGGAGGGAGTATTAGAAACATCCACTTTAGTAGTAAGTTCGGATAAACCTGCAAGGGTTTGAGGTATTTCTCCTGATAAGTGGTTGTTGCTCAAGTCAAGGGTGCGTAAGGTCGGGAAAGTTTCGTTGTTGAAGAAGTCTGGGATGTGGAGGAAAGGATGGATTTACGGGAGTTTGATGCCTCCATTCCCAAAATACGAATGTCAGAATTAGGGTACCAATTTACGGGAAACGAAGTTGGCTAATCCGACTTTTTTTAGGGTTTGCAGAGCTGTCAGCATCTCTTTTTTCGGATTCTCTTAATCCGACTTTGAGTTTTATTTTCGGTGAAAAACGGATTTGGTGAATCCGAAATGTTCAAAACCAAAAAAAAAGAAATCGGATGTCAGGAGTGTAAGCCGTGTGTCAGTAGTGGTACTGTGGCAAAGAAATTCGGATTTCCCTAATCCGAAATATGAAGCTCCCGGATTGGCCAGTCCAAGTTTACCCGGATCGTGCTTCTTCAGCTCATTTTTCAACCGTGGGATTTAACAGACTCATCCCAATTGTCCATTGTTTTGCACGGAAATCCATACTCCCAATCTCAAACTTAACCTATTTAATTCACTTCAACATCATATTCAGCCTACTACCATAAAAATAAATTTAGTTACAAAAAACTATTGAGTGTTCTTGCTAATTCTATTCTCCGAGTTTTTCAAAGAAAGGTTGGAATTTTAATTATATATTTACTCTTTACTGTTAATTTTTTGTACTGGTTGTGTTATGTCAGCCTGAATATTTCGAAAATCTTATTATTAATATGTAATTAATCTTAATTGCTATTAAGATTGTTGATATATGTCATACTAAATATATAACAATAGAAACAATTAGCCCACAACTTATAATTATTTGTAGTGTTTCCTTTACAGTAGTTAATTTATGTTGATAATGTAAGCACATTTACTGTTTTTCAATTACTCTAATTATTGGTTCACTAATATTTGTTACTAATGTATTAAATACTCCCACCGTCCCATAAAATTCTTCCCACTTTTTTTTTGGACCGTCCCAAAAAATTCTTCCCACTTACCATTTTTGGACAATTTGTGTGGTTCACATTAATTTGACCTTTTTCTTACACAACTACAACCACACATTTCTACTTTATTCCACTTTCTTAATCTCCGTGTGAAGTTAAAGTGTGAAGAATTTTCTAGGACAGAGGGAGTACTAAATTAGTGTATATGGTAATTTGAGACTACGTTGCGATTACAATTTAAATTTAGTTTAGTTAGTTGAACATTTTAATTTAGTCATCACTACTTATTTCCAAATAACATTATACTACGTAATATAATTTAGTTCATACTCCGTAACATTTATTATAATTGAGCCATAAAAGCAAACATAAATTATAATTACACTATACCGGTAAAATTTTCACAAGCTCGTCTAGAACTAGTCCTTTTCTAGTTTCTGGCAAATGTTATGTCTAGAACTAGTCCTATTCTAGTTTCTGGCACAGTGAAAATATTACTCAATGACAAGTCTAAAATTTGTATCGGTACATATAATATAATTGCACTATACTGGTACGATTTTCACAAGCTCGTCTAGAACTAGTCCTTTTCTAGTTTCTGGCAAATGTTATGTCTAGAACTAGTCCTTTTCTAGTTTCTGGCACAGTGAGAATATTACTCAGTGACAAGTCTAAAATTTGTATCGGTACATATAATATAATTGCACTATAATGGTACGATTTTCACAAGCTTGTCTAGAACTAGTCCTTTTCTAGTTTCTGGCAAACGTTATGTCTAGAACTAGTCCTTTTCTAGTTTCTGGCACAGTGAGAATATTACTCAGTGGCAAGTCTAAAATTTGTATGGGAACATATAATATAATTCCACTATACTGGTACAATTTTCACAAGCTCATCTAGAACTAGTCCTTTTCTAGTTTCTGGCACGGTGGTAATATTGTTCAGTGGATAAGCCCATTATCAACCGTACATATATTATAATGTAATACATAAGACTGATATAGTTTCATTGAAAGTTTATGTGTAATTTATAATTTCATTTAATAAAACACGTCATTATAATATACATACACACACATATATAACACTAATATATGATTCTTATTGTCAGTTGAGATACGAATGGCTGCACAAATACCACTTATGGACCCGGTTGATCGGTCTGTGCTGGTGATGCCACGTTACGCGCATCGAGCGGACCTTGTCTGGAATGATGCTACATCCATGGATGACAAGTTGAGGTGTAATGTATATTGTTCAATGGTGTACAAAGACGGCCCGCGTCACCCAGGAGTGGTAGCGTTGCTGAAGGCCTCCGGCTTTTACGGCGTCGACTGCATCAGAAGGTTGCAGTTAGACTGGTCGCTTATTACGACGTTGGTTGAGCGATGGAGACCAGAGACACACGCTTTTCATTTGCCTTTTGGTGAGGTGGGCATCACCTTAGAGGGCGTAGAAGTGTTGTTGGGGTTGCCCATCGACGGAGAACCACTGCCCGGACCTAGGACAAACTCGAAAGCACTTTGGATGCAAATGTGCACGGACTTCGTCGGTTTCACGCCAAACAACAACGACTTAAACACATATGTAATCAGAATGAATGCCCTACAGCGGTTGCCGGTACATCAGCACAGCACAAATGAGGAACTCATCACATACACGAGGGTGCTCATTTGGCAACTACTAGGTGGGTTATTGTTCCCCTCCACTATCGGGAACAAAATAAAATTGTACTTTTTAGAGTTGTTGCAGGGACCGCTCGGTGAAGCACGATGGTGGAGTTGGGGCTCAGCAGTATTGGGGTTCCTGTATTACAACATGTGCAAGGCCGCCAAAGCGAACAGGAGAAATATTGGGGGATGCTTGCTTCTATTGCAGATTTGGGCGTGGGAGAGATTGGCCATGGTGCGGCCGCGAAACGTTTTGCCATATGAGAATCTACAGGATATGCCCTATGGATGCAGGTATAATTTGAAATTTTACATAATAAGTATTAGTATATTAAATATATTTGTAGGTCATGGTATAATAACTTATTTTTATGAAGGTGGGCATGTCGGCACAATTGGGAACAAAGTTCTCGGTATACTCTACGTATTTATCGAGATCAGTTGGACGGGATCCGAGGGAACGAGGTTATAATTAACAATATCATTTTAGTTTAATAGAAAATAAATATGTTTTTAAATTAACTTCAAATAATATTGATCCAGTTCGTGTGGCTCCCATACGCATTACAAGCCCTCCCCAGGTTCTGCGTCGCGGGAGTAGATTTGTGGACATCTAATGTCATACTTATATATTGTGACATTTCTGAGATGTACTACCCCGGTAGATTTTGTCGTCAATTCGGTGCAATGCAACATATTCCTCCCGCAGCGGAATCACAAGCTAGCCACCATGCAAGTGGTGCAAAAAATTCTGGATGGCCATTGACACTATGGGCGGTGAGGCACAATCGTCGTATCGCATTTGAGTTCGTTGATCATCCCACCTACACTCCTGCGTACCGTGAATGGTACACAAATGTCGGGAAACGACGGATTTGCAATCCGTTACATGGTCGACCTACAACGGGTTATGTAACTACTAACAGGGAGACAAGTACACTAGTAAGTATTTTATGTGTAATTATTCAACTTAGAAATGTTTATTATTGTTTAATAACTTTACTTTTGAATTTTAGATGCAATGTATGAGCGATATCTATCGGCGCATGGCAGCTCCATTTGACGTCGAAGACATTCGCGAGCAAATTGCACGATGCCTTACAGGATTAGGTGCCGAGAATGTGCTTCATCAAGACATCATTTTCTATGGGGATGCCCATGATGATGCAGTGGATGATCATCCTCCACTTCGGCAAGACCGTAGAAGAGTCGCAGCCACTAGAGGTCGGCGTTACGGACGCGGTTATGTTGCTCCACACGTCGACAATGATGATGGTGATGATAATCACGATGATGATAATGATGGTGATGATAATCACGATGATGATAATGATGATGATGAGGAGGAGGAGGAAGAGGATGGCGAAGATGGTGGTGAAGAAGAAGGACAACCATCTTCACATATTCATTCACACACCCCTTCCTCATCTCATGTACCTAATCAATACACTACACCAACTAGTGCATACATTCCGACGTTTGATGCGCCATCGTTTATTCCACATGTACAGCATACATATGAGACACATCCCACCTTTTTAAATTCACCAATTGATTGGTTGAACAACTTATTAGGATCAGATGTACAGAGTGGGATGGGGCAAGAAGCAGGGTCAAGCACACAACCGCCAATTGAACATAGGCTGAGACGGGATATACATTCTAGACGCTGTGGGACAGGGAGTCACTTCGTGGTGCCAGATCGACACTATGAATCTGATGAATCAGAATAGTTGTATGTAATTAGTTTTATCAATTATGAATTGAATTTGTACTTTTAAATTATCAATCGAATTTGATATTATGTTATTATAATCAGGTACTTCTACTATTACGTTTCCATAATTCAATAATTCAATTGATAATTTTGAATTAAGTTATCAATTGAATTTGTAATTTGTAGTAATTTATAGTAATTTGTAGTCCTAAGCTTAAACTTTACTATTATGTACGGAGTACTTATTATTCGAAATTTTACTTTTTTTTTCAACATTCAAAAAATTATTCCGGGTACAAAAGTGTACAGATTCCACTCACTTTAAATTAAATCAATCAAATTTTAATTTTTCTGACAGATTCCCTGTCACTTCGGTAATCAATAATTCTACACAACATTCAATTTTTTTTCAACCACTTATTATTCGAAATAATTTCAACCACTTCTCCCAACCACTTGCACCCACCTCAATCCACTCCCAACTATCAATAATTTTGATCTAAAAAAAAATTCCGGGTACAAAAGTGTACAGATTCCACTCACTTTAAATTAAATCGATCAACTTTTAATTTTTCTGACAGATTCCCTGTCACTTCGGGAATCAATAATTCTACACAACATTCAATTTTTTTTCAACCACTTATTATTCGAAATAATTTAAACCACTTCTCCCAACCACTTGCACCCACCTAAACCCACTCCCAACTATCAATAATTTTGATCTAAAAAAATATTCCGGGTACAAAAGTGTACAAATTCCACTCACTTTAAATTAAATCAATAAACTTTTAATTTTTCTGACAGATTCCCTGTCACTTCGGGAATCAATAATTCTACACAACATTCAATTTTTTTTCAATCACTTATTGTTCGAAATAATTTCAGCCACTTCTCCCAACCACTTGCACCCACCTGAACCCACCCCCAACTATCAATAATTTTGATCGAAAAAAAAATATTCCGGGTACAAAAGTGTACAGATTCCACTCACTTTAAATTAAATCAATCAACTTTTAATTTTTCTGACAGATTCCCTGTCATTTCGGGAATCAATAATTCTACACAACATTCAATTTTTTTTCAACCACTTATTATTCGAAATAATTTCAACCACTTCTCCCAACCACTTGCACCCACCTAAACCCACTCCCAACTATCAATAATTTTGATCTAAATAAATTATTCCGGGTACAAAAGTGTACAGATTCCACTCACTTTAAATTAAATCAATCAAATTTTAATTTTTCTGACAGATTGCATGTCACTTCGGGAATCAATAATTCTACACAACATTCAATTTTTTTTCAACCACTTACTATTTGAAATAATTTCAACCACTTCTCCCAACCACTTGCTCCCACCTAAACCCACTCCCAACTATCAATAATTTTGATCTAAAAAAAATATTCCGGGTACAAAAGTGTACAGATTCCACTCACTTTAAATTAAATCAATCAACTTTTAATTTTTCTGACAGATTCTCTGTCACTTCGGGAATCAATAATTCTACACAACATTCAATTTTTTTTCAACCACTTATTATTCGAAATATTTTCAACCACTTCTCCCAACCACTTGCACCCACCTAAACCCACTCCCAACTATCAATAATTTTGATCTAAATAAATTATTCCGGGTACAAAAGTGTACAGATTCCACTCACTTTAAATTAAATCAATCAAATTTAAATTTTTCTGACAGATTCCCTGTCACTTCGGGAATCTATAATTCTACACAACATTCAATTTTTTTTCAACCACTTATTATTCGAAATAATTTCAACCACTTCTTCCAACCACTTGCACCCACCTAAACCCACTCCCAACTATCAATAATTTTGATCTAAAAAAAATATTCCGGGTACAAAAGTGTACAGATTCCACTCACTTTAAGTTAAATCAATCAACTTTTAATTTTTCTGACAGATTCCCTGTCTCTTCGGGAATCAATAATTCTACACAACATTCAATTTTTTTTCAACCACTTATTATTCGAAATAATTTCAACCACTTCTCCCAACCACTTGCACCCACCTAAACCCACTCCCAACTATCAATAATTTTGATCTAAAAAAAATATTCCGGGTACAAAAGTGTACAGATTCCACTCACTTTAAATTAAATCAATCAACTTTTAATTTTTCTAACAGATTCCCTGTCACTTCGGGAATCAATAATTCTACACAACATTCAATTTTTTTTCAACCACTTATTATTCGAAATAATTTCAACCACTTCTCCCAACCACTTGCACCCACATAAACCCACTCCCAACTATCAATAATTTTGATCTAAAAAAATATTCCGGGTACAAAAGTGTATAGATTCCACTCACTTTAAATTAAATCAATCAATTTTGTATTTTTCTGACAGATTCCCTATCACTTCGGGAATCAATAATTCTACATAACATTCAATTTTTTTTCAACCACTTATTATTCAAACACTTCCTCTCAACCACTTGCACCCAAATACTCATAACTACTATTATTAAAGAAATTACACACACCTTTCCTACGAAGTACTAATTTTTTTTTTACTATAAAAGGCTCATCACTATCCTCACTCACCATATTCTTGCTATCTATTTATCACCTTAGAGTTCCTAGCTATCTATCATCAACTCCCTATATTTCCTACGATATTACTTACCATATACAAAAAAATGGTAACTGAGCATAACACTCCAGTTTGTGTCCACTGGAATGGTTCTATTATTATGAAAGATGATGAAGTAGAGTATTCCATTCCTCCGAGCGCATCGCTGTTAATCAGCAATGACGATGGCTTTAACGCTATAAACGAGCGGATTGTCGAAGTGTGTGCGCAGAGAGGTTTTGGAGAAATTGTATCCATTCACGGAAAATTACCAAAATACAAAAATCGTGTGTATGTGGCATCAAGACTGTGGCCCATCCATGATGATGATACCTGGAAGCACTTTTTCCGACTTGCTGAAAGAGAGTATGGAGAATTACATATTTTCCTGGATGCCCGAAGAACCTCTATAGTCCAACCACAAATATCAACATATGGAGGAGGTGACACCCACAATTGTGAAACTTTTCACAATATCCACTCCAACGATGACGGACCATCAACGAGATACGGCGGACGCTACAACCCGCATACTGTTGAACATGAAGATGGCCCTTCAACAGCATATGAAGAGGAAGATGATCCAGATTATGAACAATTTTCTGGAAATGACGATGCAACAACAAATTCCGACGATAGTGATGATGCTCATGACACAACATGGGCCGATATTGAGCTGGAACAACCATATGTTGAACCAGCGAATCGTGATAATGAAACTATTGCGGTCGGCAAAATATACGATTCGTACGACTTACTCAAAGAAGCCGTAGCAATAGAAAATATTCGGCAATCTCGAATTTTTAAGACAGAAGACAAACATGTGAGATCGTGGAAGGCAGTTTGCATCTATGATGACATGTGTATGTGGCACATTCAGGCGGGAAACCTTCTCAACACCAATTTGTGGAAGGTGAAAAAATATCAACCACTACACAACTGCAGAGTGGATTATAAAAGAGCCCGTAATGACAGGCTTATGACGAGCAAGATCATAGCGAGTGTAATCGCTACAAAAGTGCATGTTGATCCGGACTACAGCATTAAACTCGTGATGCAAGACATATACGACAAATTCAGAATCAATGTCAAGTACAAAAAGGCGTGGTATGGACGTTTGATTGCCCTTGAACGAAGATTCGGGAACTGGGAGGCGGCCTACAATGATTTACCCAATTTGTTGCTTGCGATAAGAGAATCAAATCCGGGGTCAGTGGTAGATTTCCAACCAAAACCAACCAATCATGATGGTACGTATGAATTTCATCGTGCGTTTTGGGCTTTTAAAGCTTCCATTGATGGGTTTGAACACTGTCTGCCCGTAGTATCTGTTGACGGTACTCACTTGTACGGAAAGTTCAAGGGTCATCTCTTGGTTGCAGTCGCCATGAATGCTAACCGTGAGATTTTCCCTCTCGCGTACGCAGTTGTGGAAAGTGAAAACACAAATAGTTGGTCCTGGTTTTTGGAACACATTATGACTTATGTTGTCAGACCAAATCGGCATGTGTGCATAATATCAGATCGAAACCCTGGCATCCTAAGTGCCTATCAATCAGTACCTCAATTGAAAACCTCCCAAGTTTCGAAGCGGTTCTGCCTCCGACACATTAAAAGCAATTTCATTACAAAATTCAGGAGCACTGAACTGAAAAAGCTCTGTTGGCAGGCTGGGAGTACACCCATGGTGAGTGAATTTTACCAAACAATGGCTCAAATTTGTGCTACGAATGAGAATGTGTTCACGTATTTGAACGCTATTCCACGTGAAAATTGGGCACTGTGCTTCGACGATGGACGATGTTATGGCATCCTCACAACAAATCTTTCCGAGAGCTTCAATAACGTTCTAAAGGGATGTCGAACACTTCCAATCACCGCGCTGGTTAAGGCAACTTATAACAAAGTTGTCCAACTATTTGC